AGTCAAACAACCTGATGTCGTCTCACCCCCCGTTTTCATTAAGTCGATGCGGCTATTCACCATTAAAATTGTTTAAACTCCAATGTAATGAGCCGCAAACGTTAATGCTTGCACCTGCGATCGGTTCGTGGTAATAACGTGTTGAGCGACGGCAATCAGGTCAGAATCATGGAAATGAGTTAAACAAAGTACGAGAAAACCAGAAAAAAGAACGCAAAAAACAAAAAATAAAACAATAACAAAAACCCCAATAAAAACGAATGTGTCGGCAAGAAGCCTTCCTCATCGAATATACAATAGTATCAGAGAGGACAGCAACATTCCTCTTGGTGTTTCGCTCATTTTTAGCCATTCGTGAAAGTGATCCAGGTGGTTGCGTATTTATGGTTAATCCCACCTCCCCAAACCCCGCCGCCCCCCCCCTTTTCCCCATTTTTAACGAAAATATGACTCCTCAGTAGAAAGTAGCCCCCCCCCCCCGGGGTGTGTGTGGACCACACCAAGCCAACGGATAATTAACCCTGATACAAAGGTGTTATAAATTAGATGTACATTTTTTTTTAAATGTTGGTTATACAATGCAGGGTGAACTATAAACACACAATTGTTGTCAATTAGACTTTGTTTCGGAAGCGGCTTTTAATGTTGGTTACATTTTATAGTTGTATAATTTTTCATTTTTACTATGAAACTTTTAGAGACAAAAGCGTTTTTCTTTTTTAAAATTGTTTGTCCGTTTGTATTTAAAAAAATAGTATGGGAAAGAAAAACGAAAGTAAATGTAACTATCAGATATAACATACATTTCATTTTATTCCTAGACTATAAGGAAAGTTACTCATAATATGGAGGGAACCTGAGCTGTTGCACTTCGAGGCTAGTCCAGGCCTGCACAACTCAATATGTAAGGCGGGCCGTTATTCTTTATTTTATTCCTAGACTATAAGGAAAGTTACTCATAATATGGAGGGAACCTGAGCTGTTGCACTTCGAGGCTAGTCCAGGCCTGCACAACTCAAAATGTAAGGCGGGCCGTTATTCTTTATGGAAAACTTGTGCGCGTCGAAAGAAAATAATAATTAAAAAAAAAAATAGTTCGTCATTTCGCGGTTCGTTTGTTGTGCGGGCCTTGGGCTAATACATCGCCGACCAGGCTCATCTTCTGGGCTCGGCCATATAACATTTAATGGACGTGCTTCTCGGCGCGAAGGTGACAGGCGTGCAACCGTTTTGAAGCCTGCTGTGCAGTGCCGGCAGTTCGGGTCCCAGTTCTTGTCTCAAAAGTGCAGTAAACTATACATAGGAGAGACAGGTCGTCGCCTTGGGGACCGTTTCAGAGAGCACCTCTATAACATAAATAAACACGCTCTCTGTCCGGTCTCCAAACATTTCAATAGCCCTAACCATAATGGTATCTCAGATATTGTAGTTACTGATATACTCTATAATAGTAACACTACAGATAGAAACTATATGGAGAACAAATTAATAACTAGATTCGGTACGTTGTCTCCATATGGATTGAACCAAATCCACAGTTTTACTTAGCTTCAATGTCTTTTTCCTGTTTGGTTTTTCCAATTATGTTAAAATCACTTCCTTTCTACTCCTCTTTACTTTTTTTTTGTCTGGTTTTAGCGCCCTCTCCTATATTTTTTCTGTTTTAGGTAGGATATGTATATTGATATTATGTAAATTTAATTTATACTTATTTAAATGTGTTTTGTTTGTTTGTACTGATGAAGACATGTGCCGAAACGTTTAATTGTGTATAATGTATAATTATTATTAAAGCTAACTCATATTGTTCTATTGACACAATTTGTTCGTGTCTTATTAATCTTCTTGTCTCAAGCCTGTCATATTTAACATTAAACTTGTCTACCAGCTACCACTCACAAAGACACACCCTACTCCCCACACCCCCTTCCCACACGCTTGACCTACTCTTAAAGCTGACGCTTATGATCAAATACAATTATAAACGACACAGGGATATGAGACCCCCCCCCCCAAACCAACCCAAAAAAGTGTAGTGTATTTTCATGTTTACTTAAAGTAATTGTGACCACTGACGTAAGAATATGGAGGTGGGGCTCGACAGTCCATCCGTGGGACTAACCATAGGCACGATCCTTGTTTAGGCTGCTTCTTTGAATAATTAATTATATAGGCAGTCTGAATAAAGGATTATAGGGCTTTTAATTTAGTATCCAGATAAGAATTATAATTATTCATCACTATGATTTATTTTCCAGATTGTGTTAAATCTGGACAAAAAAATTACAGTATTAATCTTGATAATAAAGTACAGTGTTAATCAGAACAATAAATTATAGTGTTAATCGGAATAAAAAAGTATACTAATAATCTGGATAGTTGAGGCTAGTCCAGGTCTGCACAACTCAAAATGTAAGGTGGCCCGTAATACTTTGATCAAGGTCTGGTCTGGAGTCCAGTCCCCAAACAAAAGACTAAGTGAAGCAAAAAGAACACCAGCTCCCCGGGTGGACGGGACCCGTTAACTTTGGATGGTAACTCATCTAAGAGAACGAAACTCTGAACTTAAAACCCGAAGATGGAGTCCCGTGGGCTGTATGACGTTGAAACAATGTAAAATTCAGACAACTCTTGCGACGCGTCTGGTACCCAGGTGTATTTATTTATTGAGGCATTTTTATATAGCGCTTACCATAAAGCTCTAAGCGCTTTACAATTATGAAAAACATGTAAACTAAGTAACATATAAATGAGACAATAGTATAGTAACTACTATACTATAGAAACAATGAAAATGGCTATAAAACGAGGACACTTTGGCACGTTTTGGCCTATACTTCAGGATCAACCCGAAACAGAAAATGAGGCAGGGCAAGGAGGGTGCATCACAGGTCACAGGTGTATCTGCAATACATTGCGTTCATTTTGGTTTATCCAGGTGCGTGGAGAGAAGCGATTCGCTTTCTAGGGAACCAGCTTACAAATCCTTAAGAAGAGAACACCCCAGGCCTCGCGATTTCGTCCTGCAGATTTTACACCCATCGTCACATTGTGACGGAAGGATGCCAAAAAACTTATTTTTTTTTAATGCTTAAGTGGATATAAGTTTATAGTGCAAAATAATATTATTTTGTTATACTTATATACACGATTAATATGTATATTACTGCACTGGATTATTAATTATACATTATTATTTGATATTTATCATAATGCAATAATGCATACTTAGCATTCGCACTGCAGTGAATTCGTTTATTTGTGTGTTGTTCAAGATCTAAAGAGATGCGTTTTTTTTTTTTTGCTTTATGCTTGATGTTGTGGTATGCGTACTTTTGTTTGATTAGCAGCTGTTCGCTTTGATAAACAAAAAAATATCAATTTTCCGCATCGACACCCAAGTCATAATTTGAAATCACGAATTGGAAAAATAGAAACACAAGGCAAGTTTAAAATGCGGCGACTTCTGGACAGGCCCGCCTGTTGCAAGGGATGATGACAATCTTAATCCACATTGATCGCTGAATGAACGTGAAATAAGGTCTGTGTTTAGGTCTGTATTGAAATGGATAAATTGAGCAGACCTCTAGACCCCCCAATGAACGTCACATAATGTCTATGGTTAGGTCTGTATTGAGATGGATACATTGAGCAGACCACTAGAGCCCCCTCCAGAACACCTAATCCTCACA